ACACTACCTGACTAAAGTGCTGTGGTGGATCTCAGTTGTAAGAGCAACAAATAAGACTTCTAGTTGATCATTTGGAAAAGTGTCCGAAGGTGGATTTCTCTGCTGAATCATCTGTTGATCCCAACCATCACCAATACTGCAGAAGACCTACTGGAACCAGCATGGACCAATATTCTCATAGAAATCAGTCAAGTTTGGTAAAGGAGAAATCATGGTTTGGGGGTCATTCAGTATGGGGGCGTGTGAGATCTGCAACATCCACAGCCTGAGGTATCAAGACATCTGTGCTGCCCATTACATTACAAACCACAGGAGAGGGACAATTCTCCAGCAGGATAGCGCTCCTTCTCATACTTCAGCCTCCACATCAAAGCTCCTGAAAGCAAATCGAGATCGCAATCTTTCTTCCATTAATCGTGCAGTCCTAATCTGGAGCTCCTTCACATGACTCGACACTCGCTTTAACAGGATTGTGGCTCTTAGCGCCGCCCACACTTGTCACAGCTACCAGGCCGACCAATCACAGAGCTTGCGCTATGCATCGTTGCGATGTGCAGTTACTATTTATTGAGAGGTGCGCATAAGACACGGTGAGGGTTATGCGACAGCGCGAAAGCTGCGCCAGACCATATGTGTGCACTATAAAGGTGAACACCTCTAAAAAATAATTATATATTAATATTTAGTTTGACTGCTCACATTTTTGCTAATTTATTTTTTGTGTTTTTCCTCAAATGTTTGCTTATCAGCATTTCCCCCCCCCTGAGGTTGTGAAAGCATGAGTTTTATATGTGCATGCATGGGCTGGGGTGTGTGTTGTGTGCTTTTATATGTGTGTGTTATCAGTGCGTCATCGGCCCCAGGGCCCCATTCAATCACAGCTCCAGTAATCATCCATGAACACAGGTCTGTTCATCCGCATGTCTGGAGTCTCAGACAGGACATTATCAAAGCGCCTCCTGCAAAGACGTGCGCAAGAAAATCAAATAATTACCCCCTTCCTTCCTTCCCAAAGGAAAATGCACGGCACACCTTTTAGCGGTGGCAGAACCTCCGCGTTTAATTGACCCGAGTGCAGTTGATTATTCCCGCAGAATAGAGCCGTCATTATGGATTAACCTGCACGCTTCACCCCTGATGTTAATAACAGCTTTACCCTCCGAGGAACAAAACAGATGTCAGCTGGAGCTGCGGGAAATTCAGCTTTTACGAGATATAATAATAATAATAATGATAATAACAACAATAATAATCACAAAGTGTGGTATCGGCCACCGAGGAAATATAGGTGTAATTTCTGCTGCTTTCCATTAGCACGTTCACATGCTGCAGCTTTATGAAGCTACATATTTTATTAGCTTCTTTATATATTGTTCATTCTGTCCTTACAGATTAAAAATAGTTTTTAATAGTGCTTTCGAATCGATTAATCACGATTAAATGCATCAAAAATAAACGTTTGTATTTGCATATTTAGATTGCATATTAAATATATTACATTGCAGCAGGACAAATAAGTATTGAACACATTGAACACGTGAGTCCCGCCTGGGTCAGTTGGCATTTTTTTGTATGGAGTTTGCATGTTCTCCGCCGTGTTGGCGTGGGTTTCCTCTGGGTGCTCCGGTTTTTCTCACAGTCCATGCACATGCGCTATAGGGGAATTGATCAACTAAATTGGCCGTAGTGTATGAGTGTGTGCGTGTAAATGAGTGTGTATGGGTGTTTCCCAGTACTGGGTTGCGGCTGGAAGAGCATCCACTCTGAAAACATATGTTGGAATAGTTGGCGGTTCATTCCGCTGTGGTGACCTCTAAAATAAAGACTTAAGCCAAAGGAATGATTGAATGAATGAATTAAACATGGAAATGCATTCATGCTAGTGATTTGGAAAATGTCCAGTTTTCTCCAGTCACATGTACAAAGATGCAAGCCATGTCTCAAATGGCACACTATGCACTATGCACTCATGCACTATGTACTTATGCACTTACACACTCAACAGGATAGTATATGCATGTAGTGTCATTCCAAATGGCACACTAATGTTTTTTACTAAGCGGAAATTCAAACCGTTTCCCTGATGATGTTTGCCGGTTGCCAAATCAGTGAAATAAATGACCAAACTACCAAATAATACCAGCCGTGAGTATAACCGCATTCACCATCGGGAGGCGCTATAATTACCCTTATAGCAGAATTATGCTTTTACAATCCAAAATAAAGTTATCCAACATGTGCGCCTGATAGCTCCGCCCCTTACGCTACATGTGCAAACCTGCGGTCGTTGAGTGCGTGAAGTGTCCATCATTACACACTTCACTTTAGCGGCTGAATGAGTGCATCATCCGGGTAATTAAAGTGCACTTATTATTATTATTAGAGTTTTCAGTGTGAACACACTACATACACTATTTATACTACAAAATGGCGTAGAATAGTGCATAAGTATACAATTTGGGACGCAGCTATAGTGAACCTCACACTGAAATGACTCCCTCAAATAATCCAAAGTGGAGATGAGTATCAAACAGAATCAGAGATGATCTCAGTGTCCTCCATCTCTCCGGTTCCTCCTCCTGCTGCTGATGATAATGCTTTTCTCTCTCGTCTAATATTCAGTCTTTCTCTTTGAAGGGGAGTTTTGCTCTTTTCTGTCTGACAGACGCTTCATAATGCTGCGTTTTCTTTCCTCTGATCACCAACAAAGAGCTTGTTTGCTCTCATCACAAGAGTCAGGAGGATTTTTGACATTATTAACACACACGTCTGAACCAAACATCTCCTTTAGGGAACACCTAAACATGTGAAGCCTGACATCTATCCATTCATTCTACCATCCATACATCCATCCATACATGCATACATCCATTCATACATGAATCTTTATATTCATCTATCCATCCATCCATCTATACATGCATACATCCATTCATACATGAAACTTTATATTCATCTGTCCATCCATTCATCCATCCATCCATCCATACATGCATACATCCATTCATACATGAAACTTTATATTCATCTGTCCATCCATCCATTGATCCACCATCCATTCATCCATCCATCCATACATGCATACATCCATTCATACATGAATCTTTATATTCATCTATCCATCCATCCATCTATACATGCATACATCCATTCATACATGAAACTTTATATTCATCTGTCCATCCATTCATCCATCCATCCATCCATACATGCATACATCCATTCATACATGAAACTTTATATTCATCTGTCCATCCATCCATTGATCCACCATCCATTCATCCATCCATCCATACATGCATACATCCATTCATACATGAAACTTTATATCCATCTGTCCATCCATCCATTGACCCATCCATCCATCTATTGATCTACCAATCCATTCATCTATTCATATATGCAACTTTATATCCACCCATCCATGCAACTTTATATCCATCCATCTATACAACCATCCATCCATGTATACAACTTTATATCCGTCCCTCCATACATGCAACTTTGTCCATCCATCCATGCATTCATCCATCCATTCATCCATACATGCAACATTGTCCTTCCATCCATTCATTGATCCATCCATTCATCCATCCGTCTATGCAACTTTATTATTCCATTCATCCATCTATTCATGCATCCATTCTTCCAATTTCTTATTTATTTTTTAAATGAAATGGAATTTAATTTTGTTTGTTTTTATAATTTTTTTTTTACATTTTAATAAATCCTTTTAATTATTTTTATTTATTTTATTATTATTTTTTTTAAATGTAATAGTTGTATTTGTATTTATTATATTGTATTTAATTTGATATTTTATTCCTTATTTTATTTGATACTTTTTAAAATTTAACTCAATTTAGTTTAGTTTAAATGCTCGCTCCGCAGCCTGATTTGTGCTGCTCTTAATAGATCGTATTAAACACTATGCAAATGAGCTGCTGCGTGTGCGTTTCTCACTCATTGACAGCACGTCACTCTTTACATCTTTACACTCTCATAAACACTTTTATGAGCCTCTGCTCTTGTGCTCATTCCTCTTTTATTAAACCTGGCTTTGCTGTACTGTAAAACGTGTCCGTAAATGAGCAGTTTTCTCTATTTTGTGATTCATGTTTTAATTTTTTCTCAATTTATTTCTGTTTTTGAATTTGATTATGGGAGCTTAATCTTTCCATCAACAACTATTAACCTTAAAAAGTAAAAATATAGTTAGTTTAAAGTGATATATTGTCTGGGGTTGTTGTATTTTATGCTACAAAAACTTTTTAAATTTAAGTTACCTTAATTTAATTAATAGATTTTTTTTTGCTTTCAATTAAATTAAATTAAAATAAATAGTATTTTTATATTGCATTTTATTTAAATAGTTTACATTTTTGTTTAATTTGATAATTTGTTTTTTATTGTATTACATAAAATGTAATATAATTTATTTTTATTTATTTCATATTATATTTTATTCAACATTTTAAAATGTTATTTTTATTTTTTAAACAATACAAAAATTTTTACAGATTAAATTAAATCAATTTATTTTAATTTGTTGTTTTTCTCATTTTATTTATACTTAATGCATATAAAATATTGCTATATCTGTTTTTATATTATATATTGCTATAAATTGACTGCTTATAATAAACAGTGTTCTATAAATTATCCAACATTCTCGCAGTGTATAATGCATTTTATTTCAGATTGTTTACAGTGTGTTAGCCATTGTGTTTTGATTGTGTTTTCTGACTGTGAGAGTGAAATGTTGCATTGATTTTATTTAGTTTTTGCTTTTTTATTTGATTTAATTAAATTAATTGAATTTTATTTTGTTTTATTTGTTTATATTAAATATTTAAATATTTTAAATCCAATTTATTATTATTATTATTATTTTTTACAATTTATCACAGATATTGTTTACAGTGTGTTAGTCATTGTGTCTGAAAGGTGATGGTGTGTTTTCTGACTATATGTATTTAATGTGTGTGTTTTGTCCTCAGGTTATGCTCGCAGCCTCGTATTGGTCTCTGCTGGCTCCTGCTATTGAGATGGCAGAGGAATCTGGGAAATATGGAGACTTTGCTTTCCTCCCAGTGGCTGTGGGCTTTGCACTGGGAGCTCTGTTCGTTTATCTGGCAGACCTGATGATGCCTGCTCTGGTGAGTGTTTGGATGATTTTTTTGTTTGCAGATCACATGCAAAGATCACAATATTCCCAAATATAATAAAACCCAAAGTTCACGAAGCAGATGTAAATATCATAGTCTGAAATGAAAGAGTAGGAGTGAAATGTATCAGTGTAATGAATTGCAACCCATTTCTTTATTGTAGATGTGGAATATTCAGAGGTCCTTCCTTAAAATAGATGCATAAATAAATAAATACATGTATATATTTTTTAAATAAACAAGTAGATGGATGGATAAATAAATAAAAAATAAAGATATATAACTGAAGAAATACATAATTAAATAATAAACAAACAATTAAACAAATAAAAAAAGAAACAAAATAAAAAATAAAAAATAATAATTAAGTAAATAGATACACAAATAAATAAATAAACATATCAAAATAAAATAAATAAATACCTAAATGAATACACAATAAACAAATAAATAAACAAATAAACAAAAAAAACCAAACAAATAAAGAAAGAAAATAATAAATAAATGGATGAATAAATGAACTAAGTACATTAAGTACACAATAAACAAACATAAATTAAAAAACAATTATAAATAAATAGATACATTAATACACAATAAACACAAACAAAAAAATATATACAAACGAATAAATAAAAAATACACTAAATAAATAAATATATGAACTAAATAAATAAATAAACAAACAAACAAATGAATAGATAATGCATAAATTAATACACAATAAACAAATAAAAATAAATAAAATAAACAAGTAATAAATTAATAAATAAAAGCAAAATAATAAATAAATAAATAAAAGCAACTTAAGTAAATAAATACATAAATTAATACACAAAAAACAAAAGTAATCACACAAAAAAATAAAAATAAACAAAATAACTAAATAAATAAAAACAAAAATAATGAACAAATAAATAATTATAATTAAATAAACATACATTTTGTTTGTTTCTTATGTAAATGTGTTTATAATAAAGCGATTTATTATGTTTTATAATAAAGTTTAGCTAGAGAATTTAGTTTGGTTACTATCAGAAATTAAAGTAATTTATGTTTGATTTAACTGTTTATTGTTAATTTTAATTCTAGTAACAAAGCAGTGTTAGTTTTATTCAATATTTGAGTCTACATATTGCACTTTTTTTAAACTTTAGCTATGTTTTTTTGTACATTGTGTTGTTTTTTTATATATATTTGACATAAATATGCATATTTATATAACATTTAATACAAGTATGCACAGAATACACACATTATGTAAAATAAAAAGGATGAAACGATGCAATAAATCATTTGGCAGCACACATTTTAACATGTTTAATCTATACTGAAACTTCTGCTACGG